GCTTCAAGTCCATTTTGTCCAGCAGTGCTGCTCTGCAGCACTTCTCGGCCGTCTCCTCCCAGCGTTTGCTCTCGGGGGATGTGCTGTGCTGCGACGAGAGCTGCCGTGTGCCGTCCGGCAGAGGATGGGGGGGTGCGTCGAGCACTGTCTCTGTGCAAAAGGAAGGGGCTTGTTCTCCCACTGGGGGGACAGCAGGATTTGGCTGCCATACCGTGTGGTCCGTAGCAGAAAGTTCAGTGGTGCTTGAGTCGGGAAGACTCAGTGTGTTTTGGAGAGAGGAGCCCAAGGAGCCAAGCCCGGCTAGGGCGGGGAGGAAGACCAACTCTTGGTCCATCACGGCACGGGCAGGAGTGAGAACAGGCTGCTCCAGAGGCATGGCGTGATGATGGGCCTGCGTCTCGCTTGCCCTCAGGAGAGATGGTGGCTGCCTGTCCCCAGCGGGCTCCACCCGACCCTCCTCTCCCAGCAGCCTCCCGCCAGGAGGATGCAGGGGGATGTCTGTCACTTCAGCTGCTTCACTGCCCTGCAGGGTGGGAGTCCTCGCCTCTACTGCCATCATTCCTCCTGGCGCCCTGGGACCTCTGTCGGGATGGGGCTCCCTGTCCAGGGGGTGCTCACCCAGACGGCTACTGGGTTGAGGGAGAGCTCCAGGCCCAAGGGTTTCCGTGGGAACTCCTCAGACTTTGCTGCATTGGAAGCAGAGAAAACAAACTAAACCCCAAACTGTGCATCAGTTTTTTTGCATGAACTTCCATGCCCCAACCGGAAGGAAGTCAGATGCTGCACCTGGCAGGTGCCAGCCCTTCTGGGCTGCCCTGGCCCCCAGCCATGCCAGAGGGATGCTCTGGTCCCCAGGGAACATGGGTGCCACCGGCTGTTCCCGCCGCGCTGCCCATTTTCCCCTCTACCCACCTGGCGGGGGGAGGTCAAATTTCATCTTGCGCAGTTCGGTCATTGACACCTGCAGTTGCTCAATGACAGCATCGTCCTCATACTGCAGGGAAGCGGCAATTTTCTCCTGCAGAAATTCCCGTAAATCTTCCAGCGTCATCTTCAGCAAGCGCTCTGGGGGATGGTAGAAAGGAGTAATGGCCGCAGCACAGCCAAATTTGCAGGGCAGCATGAGTATGGGTTGCATTGCTTTGGTTTTATCTGGGATTCTGCTGCTGTTCTCATTCCGTGGTGGGACAGCCTGAACGTTTTTGCCTCTCTCCCACCTTCCCGCTGTTTCTCAGGGCTGCCAATACATGTACATATCCGCGCCACCTCTGGGCAGTAGCTCAGCGGGGTTGGGACCTATGCTGACCAGTTGCACATTTTGGGCCATTTCTGGAAGTTCTCAACAGTACCGCTAGGAGGAGGAAAAGCTCCACAAGATAGGTCCCAAGCATCAGACTGAACAGCCCCTGCCAGCAGCTGCCACTGCCACACAGGGATGCCAGCCTGCACCAGCCAGCTGGCAGGGATGCAGGCAGAGATGCTGGCCCACACCAGGGACGCAGGCAAGGATGGGATTCAGGCAGGAACAGGATGCCGGCAGGGATGCCGATCCACACCACACATTCCTCAGGGAAGAGAGAAAGTTTCAGTCAGACTGAAACTTCCGCCTGCCTGCCAGTTTCCCAGCCTTTGCCAACGAACGGGATACTTGACAATGTATTTCTGGATAGCCTGTTCTTCATTCAACTGAAGGAAGAGCAGGCTGGCTGTTTGGGGAAGCCAACACAGGCAGTCCCATAAATCCCACTGGCCCAAAGGTTCCCAGCGTGCAATATCAACATTGCCCCTGTCCCAGATTAAAGACCTAACAGGCATTCCCAAAGCTAGCTTATGGGAATGGAGGGGTTCAAAGTCCCAAAGATCTTCAGGTAGAAGTATCACTGCCTTAATGTTATGTAAGAAAATCAGGGTTTGGTCATTTTAGAAGTCTATTAATGGATTTATTTCTCCCTCTACAGCCTTTTCAGCTGAACTGCCACATAGAGCTTTGCAGGCAGACGGGTTGCTGTCTGTATTGCCCCTAAAAGTGCGTTGACAGAAGATGTGGGGCGCAGCATGCAGAAAGAGGCAGCTGGGAGCATTTCAGGAGGAGTTTGCTGCGCATTAAGTGCAGGATTTCAACCCTTGCAGCATCTCATTTCCCCCCCAGAGCACTGGCACGGGACTGTGCCTTTTGGGGCCAGCACAGGGCACCAAGCATGCCGGTAGTGAGTGGCCAGCAAGGGTTGCCGTGTCAGCAGCACAAGGGTGGCTCAGCACCGTGCCACCTCTGCCATACAAGATGTGCTCTGCTGGGACCTTACTTTTGTGCAGTTTGAGGATGGTGTAAGCCATGGCCGTCAGTACCCGCTCTCCTTCCAGGATGTAGATATCCCACAGCCGCAAGGTGAGGGTGAAGGGGGTCTGTTTCAAACACACAAACAAAAACCCAGTTTGTTAGCACCACACTTGTTAGCATTGATTGATGGGATGATGACACAGAGGTTGGTGGCAACACTACGTCCCCTTGCACCAAAACACACAACAGGTGAGGCACTGGATGTCCAGGATTTGTCTGTAACACAAAACCCTATTTTATCATCTATAGTTTTGCCTCAAAGCTAACACCCTTGGGTGGCTAGGAAAGTACTTACAACCTGGCCACAAAGGCAGAAAAGGAGAAACTTTCCATGCAGGCATACTAGCACATGGATTCCCCTGCTCTGGAGGGTCCACTGTTTTACGAGACAGGGCAGCAGAAAATTGAGACTGGGAACACACAGATGTCCTAAACATTAGCAAGTCTGGATCTTGCATTCAAGTGTGCAAGCACAACGCTGCCCCTAAAAATAAAGTAGTCTTGGCTCAGGACTGGCAAATTAGCTCTGGACAAATCGGGGTAATTTTCTCACACTTTCATGTGTCTCCAGTGCCCAGCCCACCCCTTTGCCTGCAGCTGCTGCAGTGCTATTTGTTGAGGTTTGTGCCTCCAGCTCTTCTTCTCCCTACATTGTTTCCAGAGCCAAAGTGAGGTTAATTGCCTTTGCAGCAGTGCCAGTAGGCAAGAGAAAGATCTCTCCCAACTTTGAAGCTTATCCTGCTGCTGCTGAGGCATCTCCCAGCGACTGCTTGTGAAAACACAGCAGGAATTGGCTTGTCATCAGTGACATGCAGTTATTTTTGGCTTCTCCCTTATTAATTTGTTTTTGCCTTATGAGAGTGTGCATAATATCCCACCTTATAAAATATTAACACCCTCTTCAAATTATGATACTTTTTCCAAAAAACAGGCAGATTTACCACGCGTGCAAGCAGCAGAGCAGCAAACAGCCCGCAGAGGATGCTCACCCGGTCAATGAAACACTGCAGGAACCACTTGGTCGTGTAAATCCCCGTAGTCATCTGCTCCTTGTCCTAGGAAGAGACAGCAGAGAGAGACAGGCATTTCACCAGGCTGGCTGCTGGAGGTTCAAGCAACTCATAGGGCTTTTGAGGTTTATTAATGCTGGGGTCTGGGATCTGGCTGCAGTTTGTCTCCCAACAAAGCTGCTGCTTTAAATACCAATGCTGAAGCCCTGTTCTGGCCCTGTGCCCTAGATATTCATTGAAGCTGATGCTTGACGTTCCCAAACTTCAGCCACAACTTTGGAGAGGGATTTCTAGAAGCTTTTATGGCCTAGCATCTACTCCGGGCATTTACAAAAACCTTCCAGGAACCCAAAACATGCACTCCTTGCAGTTTACCATTTTTGTTTCCATAGCAATTCCCACGTGAGCCTCTCAGAGCGCCACATAAATGGTTAACCACAAGTATCCCACAGGTAAATCCAGACCTGCAGAGTCAAGTCCATTTTACTAGCACTACCTCATTTGCATGGCAGGGCTGCTGCAGGAGCAGGGCAGCCTGACACGCTAAGGAAAACTCTTCAAAACCTCATCAACATCACCCCGGTCTATCACTTTTCAAGCCGTCTGGCGCCCGGCACAGCGTTCTCACACAGCTTTGCTTTTTCTGTTATGGCTGATGGTGTGGCATGGCTGGTTCTGGGATGCCCAGTGCCCTGCACATGCACAAAGTCAAAAGTCAACCTGACTGCTGCTGCAAAGCCAGCAAAGCAGCAGGGATGGGAAGAGGAAGAAGCTGATAAAATTAATGGCCTGCTCTGGTCTTTGCTTTCGGATGGTGCTGGACACCTGCAAGCCTGGGGAGGCTGCTTTCAGAAAGAAGCTTTCACAGCATTATTCCCATCCTCCTCATCCAGGTATCCCCACCCCAATGGCTATAATTCAGTGAAAACCTGTCCTGACTCTGTTTCACTTCCACAGCCAGGGCTGGCTCATGTGCAGAACAAAGCAAGAGCTGTTGCAGATGATAGCAATATAAACAGCTATTCCTGGAGCCAGGCCACCTCGACCCTTGGGAGCGTAAGGAACCTTCAGGAATCTGGCTACTGAATACCAGCTGTCTACAGCAAATGCAAGGGGGGACAAAAAAGGGAGCAGGTGTTGCAAAATAGCTGCCTAGACATTAGACTGCAGTTGATGTGTCCTGCAGATGCTCCTCCAGCCACCAAATGGGCTTGTAACACCTGCGAGAGGGAAAATCAACTGGATGTGCCCAAGCAACAAAACACACAGCAAATCTTACACGCAGCAAATCTTATGTGCCTCCTGTCTTTAAACAACAGCAAAGCTGTTAAATGCAAGCACTTGTGGCTAATAATCACTGCATTAAGACTCCAGACAGTCCAGCATCACCTTTTGGGCTTTGCAGCCGGTGTGAGCACACAGTCCAGCCTCGCTGCTGTACGCAACAGCTCCTTCTGCTGCAGGCTCTGTGAGCCTTCCTGCCAGGCTTTCCTAAGGAAGCCCTTAGATTTTAGCAGTCCCTACACTAATGACGACCAGCAAGCAAATGATAACCACTCGCCTCAGCAAGATTCAAGCACCCCGTTTAATAAACATTTGCCTCTTTGCGACTGAAGCAGTCCCACATGGTTAGAAGTACGTTCAGTTGTTCACCTATTTGGCAGAACATTACACTAATTGCTTTAGCATTAAAACATGGTATTAATAGGGGGAGACTGATAACAAGGTCGGGAACCCAGGAATGAAAAAGCCTTAATGAGAAAAGATGAGAGAAATCATCAGAAAATTTCTGGAGCAGTCATGGGAGCAGCATGATTTTGTAGAAACTCATCCCCTGCATTGCCTGTTGCAGTTGGCTGGACCACAACATGCCCAGCTACCTCCCTTGGCATCCCTCCCAGAGCCTGCCCTTCACCCCATCTACATAGGTGACAGCACCCTCAGCACCAACCCCAGCTGGTCCAGAGCAGACCTGTGCACCTCCCCACCGTCCGCCCGCCTGAGACTTGGCTTGGCCAAGACCTCTCTGAACACATCTTGGTGCTTACCAAGGTTCAGAGAAAAGCTGAATATGTTTGAACACCACAAGCTTGTGCAGCACCCCGTAATCTAGCAGGACATGCGTTTAAGACTGTTCGGAGTTATCAAGCCATGAGGCTCATAAAATGACCCCTGTGCATACAGCACTGCTAACCACAAGTAAGACAAAAGAATCTTTAATGTGTTTTAAGTAAAATAATACAGCACATTTGGTGGAATTACACCTTCATAAAAACACAAAGGCATGTGGTTCATCGCACACTAAAAACAGAGCACTACATGATGCTCTTGGATGTACTTCTGTGAGACTTCTTAAAAACTCATAACCTTGAGTTAATTGATTGCCAAGGGCATGACACTCCGGAGAGATGATAGCACCTCTGTGAAAGTGTTAATTACTGAGCGCTACAGCTCAGTGCCGATAAACCATGGGTTTTTCTCCCTGATGAACTTGTCTGCCTCCAAGAGTGGTAGTGAGGTTGCATCAGCACATAACTAAGCCTTACGTGCTTCAAACAAGTATGTGAGGAGAAATGAGGCTCTACTGACCTACCTAAACAGCCTTCCCTCCCATCACAAGAGTCCCCACCCGCATCCTGCCCCAGCCTTACCGTGCATGGCATGCCGCTGGTTGGTCAGCAGCTGTGCCAGTGCCCAAAATGCATCCTCTTCGTTTAAGTACATCAGGAGGATGGCTGCAATCTGGCTCATGCCTTGGCAGTAGCTCACTTCCTGCAAGAGTCAAGAGGGGTAAACGTGCTGCCATGCCGTCAGACTCCACCATGATGCTAAAGCTGCAGAAGCAGGTCAGTTTGTCTGTGCTTCCCTCTCCTCTTTCAAGGTCTGTCCTGTTTCAAGGTCTTTACCACTTATGCCCAAATCCACAGCTCACATGTATCTACAGCATCTATCATGTCACCGACTCACAAAGTGGTTTGCGTTGGAAGGGACCTTTGAAGATCATCTCATCCAAACCCCCTGCCATGGGCAGAGACATCTTTCATTAGATTATGTTGCTCAAAGCCCCATCCAACCTGACCTTGAACACTTCCAATGATGGGGCATCCCAGCTTCTCTGGGCAACCCGTTCCATTGTCTCACCACCCTCACTGTAAAAAATGTCTTGCTTATGTCCAGTCTAAACCTACCCTCTTTCAGTTTATAACCGTTGACCCTTGTCCTGTCACTACAGGAGGGCCTGGTAAAAAGTCTTTCTGTCTATCTTATAAGCCCCCTTTAAATATTGAAAGGCCACAATAAGGTCTCCCCAGAGCCTTCTCTTTGGACTGAACATCCTCAACTCTCAGTCTTCCCTCATGGGAGAGGTGTTCCAGCCCTCTGACAATTTTTGTGGCCCTCTGGACCCACTCTAGCAGGTCCTCAGGCGGAGGGTGAGGGGCTTGCAGTCAATGACCCCCACCACGCCGCTCCCCCCACCAGCCCTGCTCAAGCCTGGGGGGTGAGGGACAGAAACCCCAACATAAGAGGTGCCTGAAGCTGCTTCAAGGAGCAGGGAATGTGATGATAAACAGCATATGGCTCCGATACTGTTTTGGATTCCATCAGCCACATGAGCACTGAAGGAATTAAAGAATAAATAAATCTGGTAAGCATTTATCTGTTGTCAGGGAAGGCAGGGTCTTTGTTCCCATGACTACCCCCCTGAGCATCTTCTGTGCCGTCTGGGGTAACTTTCCCCTCCTGGAGATGGAAGCAGTAGGTTCAGCTGCTAATTTAGGCTTATTCTGCCCATGTCCTTCAGCAAAAAATTACTGGTTCACTGTAATAAATCAGTGTTTTCAACAAGGATGCCACTGAGTGTATGACAAGAAGAAACATGATAGACCTTCAGCCAGGAGGCTAGTCTTGCTGGACAGCCAAAGGGCAATCCCTTGTTCTTTGCTGACACTCCCCAAACTGCATCTGCCAGATGTCATTCACCAAGTGACAAAATGAACAAGGGAATGAAAAAACAACTGCGCAAAGTGTCTTGTGTTGCCTTCAAGTCTTGCAGCTGTCTATAAAAACCAGTATTAGGACTTAAAAGCGGAATTACCATTGGCTAAATGCGTGTGTGTGTGTATGTAGACACATATATAGACACACAAACATACATGTATACACATATATAGAGAGCTTTTTTTTTAATCTTTTTATATATATATATATATATACATATATATATATAGCACAATACTATTCACTTTAACTGGACTAACTTACTACTTACGGTGTTATAAACAGAGTATGCTGACAGGACATGGAAGAGTGCCTGTTGCCTGGGGAGAAAGAATGATATTAAAGCACCTGAGTGTGAGGTCTCCAGCTTTGTGTCCACACCAACGCATATGCACAGAGAGCAAAGGTTCTGAAAACACCCAGCCAACTGGTACTTATGCCTTTTGCAAGGAGCAGGGCTCATAGAACCAGAAAGCACCTTGACGGGTACGTGGGATGTGACCTCTTCCTTTGGAGGGGCAGTTACCAGCAGCCCCGCAGAGTGGGGCTGAACCAGCCTGCTCCATCAGCAGGTCTCCTGGAGAAACAAGTACGTACCCACACGTACTGTGTTCAACACACTCGCTCTTCAGGTTTGGAGTGGTGGTGGGTTTTTAATAGACTTGCAACCACCCAGGCATCAAGTGTTACACATCTTGGGTGAAAGCACTGCCACCATTTTATTAATGTGTTCCCTTCTCCCTTCACTCCTCGCTAAAGCAGTCATCACCATATAGATATGCAGACTGTATGTCTGTGTAGGGCAGCCAGGTGTGACTCATCCAAGTGACAAAGCCACTTTGGCAAACCTCTCCAACCCCCTCCGTTGTGAAGGCCACGTATGCCTCGCTCTACCCAGCTCCCAGCAGACCCAGCCATCCCAAACCAAGCCCTCTGCAACTGCAACCCTAGCACCTTAGGGGACAAGGCACCACAACAGGCTGATGCTTGGCTCATGAACGGGGGCTCAAGGTGGTCCAGTGTGGACCTGTCTGAAGGGAGAATCAGCAGTCCAACATCTGTGGGTCGTACCATGTGCTGATGGTTTGTGGAGCAGGCAGAGGTGGCTTTGCTCTCCTATGAGCTGCTCTGACCCAGGGGGATGGAGACCACCCCAAGCCAGGGGGCTGCTGGCCACCCCATCCACCACATCCCATGCACACCCACCGGCACCGGTGTCTGTACAGCCACGCGAAGCCTTTCGTACTCACTTCACTCCGTAGCGATCCCGAAACATGATGTGGTTTCGGAAGGTGCGGTTAACATCCAAATCTATCTGCTTGATTTCTGATGAAAAGCTCTTTGCTTGTTCTTTCATTTGCTGGAAGGGAAAGGTGCAGACAAGAGGAAGGAGTCAGACACCATCTCAGCCCACTCCTCTTTTCACACAGCAAGAAGGCATGCTTCCTACAGCAGGAGTGGCAGCTTGTGAGCTGCAGAGCTAGCGCAGAGTGACTCAAGGACACTGCCATCTTGCAGTGAACAACAATCTGCAGCCCAGAGGTGAATCCCTGGCCCCTCAGCTGTGCTGCGGGCCCAGGGAGAAGGGGGCAACCCATGCTACAACAGCTGCCAGCCTTCGCCCATCTTCCAATGCAGATACTGACTTTTCAGAATCTAAAACCTTTACAATTAAATTCCACTCTGATTTCTTTTAATTTCTTTGTGGTACCCAGCCTGGCTGCCATAAAGCATCGAGGCCTCTGTTGGCGCTTAAGGAACAATACACTTCTATAACCAACACACAGACACAAGCACCGAGTCCCTGAGCTTTTCAGAGGCTCAGTCATAACAGAGTCCAAACTGCTACGACAGAGTCTGTGAAGTCACCTTCAACTACTACTTCCTCTACAGAAGAGAATCATCTTAGGTTAAGGAGTTTCCACTAGAAAAGCAGTCCTGGGGTATCCCATTGGACTGGTGCAAATTTTAAGGAACTGGCAGAGTCCAGAACAGAAGCTAAACTCAGAACCAATAATCCTGATGCTCCCGCCATGCTGGCTAATCATTTAAGGCAGCATCACAAAGACAAAGGACTGAAGTCCATGCAAAAAATGGAAATTCAAACAAAAGCTAAGCCCGCTTCAACCAATTGCGCTCTCAGAGTCCCAAGCTCAAGATGCTCCATGGATGAATCCCACTGTAGTCCCTCTTGTAACCCACTGTTCAGCTCTGTGCATGAAGGCAGGGACCATTATGCTATAGCCAAGCATCTCATCGCACAGCCTTTAGATACCACCGGTGATCATGCAATTTCCCTCCTTCTTTAATATCTCCAGAGTTAACTGCATTAATAAAATACATTTTGTGACCATCTTCAAGGCAGCCTGAGATCCACTGGCAGGTTAGGAGCAGTGGAGATGAGCAGCATACCCAGCTTGCCCGGAGCACAGGGTCAGGGCCCCTCCTTGATCACACAGGAGAATGAAAATAGCATATCTGCACAGATACTTAATCATCTGCTACAGCAGCTGCCATCCTATGAATGCTTGTCAGCCTGATACAAGGCGCCTCCAGGCTGCTGTTGACCTCCCGAGGTGGCCACATCAGCTCTGGGGAACATCAAAAGGTGATTAGCACCCAGACGTGTCCAGCACAGCCAATGCTCAGGGCAGTCACACCATCCTGGGAATATTAACTCCAACCTTGAAAGCAGCTGGAAGAGCAACAGTGCAGGGGCTATTTTGAATTATTGCCTGCACGTGACAAGGGAGGATAAAAGTGATGACAGAATGAAGATCTGATGAACCACATAATTTCCCTGCTGTAATTCCTATTGCTCCTTGCCCTCTATAAAGCAGGCAGACTACTTGAGACAAAATGACTATTCATACGCACCGGGTCACTTCAGTTCAAATTTCTCTGGTAAAGGCCCTCTTGGTTTTCCTGACAGAACAACACAGAAATTTCCCAAAGACTGTAAAAACCCCTACTTGTTTGTTTTTTTTAAAATCACTGCACCTGAATAGCACGCAGGTTGCACAGCATTTTGTCACCTCCATGCACCCAGGAGGCTTTATCAATTCTGCAGACAGTAAACAAGAAGCCCAGGATGGGTTGTTCTCCTTTTTTCCCTTGTTTAAGTAACCTCAGGCCTCCACAGATGCTCTGCCGAGCTCATTAGCGCTGCGAGCCCTGCAAGCCATTGGCAGGCAGAAGCTGGGAAGCTGGAGGTCCTGTCCCAGAGACCTTTTACAAAGCAACGGGTGGAAGCCAGGATGCCTCTGCTTTGCCCCATGGCCAGGCACGTTTCGCCTGCCAGCTTCTGAGCTCTTCTGAAGTCCTCTTGGTTGTGGCTATAAAACCCCAGAGAGGCACCCACATTGAAACCAAGTGTGGCACATCCCATGATAGCCTCCAGGCTCCTGCAGCACCAGCGACAACTGAGCTGCCACGGCCTTGAAGAAGACTTGGAGACTTGCATGGAGAGGACTTGGAGGACAGCTGGGATAAGATAAAGCCTTACAGAAGCAACTGGACCAGGCTTTTTAATCGCATCGCTCCAGAGGCAACATGAACACAGGGAGCAATGTATACCACTTGGCTGGAAAAGTAGCTCCTCTGCCAGCCTCAGCGCAGAGGGCAACATCTCTACAGAGGCAGCAGTGGGTGTAAAAAAAGATGAATCACCTGGCATGTGCCAGGTGGCACACTCAAAACTCAATGCACATGCAAAAGCCAGGCTTTTGTGCCATGGTTCATGCCCCAAGGAGAAATGGGGTGGCTTTGGGACCTGCCCCTCCAGGACACATGGCTGGGGCTGAGGCTTGGTCCCTTCTTGAAAGCAAAACCCCTCATCCAGGACCTGCACTTAACCTCTTCTGGAGGAAGTTAGGGGGGAGCTAATTACTGGCGGCAGGTGGCACCAAAGAAGAGAAGGATTAAGATGAGCCTGGGGGATTTGCATCCAGCAAAGCCTATTAGCCCTGAAGCTCCTGTTTATCACAGACCTCTCTGGAGCACAGATAAACTCCTTGTGACTTTCATTTGTTTGGACTGCTTCCCTACCTGCACAGCACAGCTTCGAAGGAGGGGGCGTGATAAGAATCTGCATGCTGGGAGAGCTTCCTTCTGTCTGATTATCATCGCTGTGAGCCCAGCCTGCCTTCCCCAAGCCCCTGCACCTGACTCCATCCCAGCAGCATCTTGCTATTAACATCTATGCTTGACTAACTATAATGAGCATTAGCATCATCCTGCTTAATAGGCAGTGACTTTTAGAAACACCTGCTGGAAGCAGCACTTGACCTTCTGCCTTTGAAACATAACTCCACAACACCCCGATCCTCACCCAGGTACATGATGCAAGCTAAACCATAACACAAGTCTGGAAAAAAAGTTAATTATCAACCAAGGGCTTCTACACGCTGCCTATGGAAAGAGGCAGCGTAAAGGAACCGAGATGCCTGAAACAAACAAACAAACAAAACCCCAACAAAATACAGGTAACCCCATTACTCATGTTCTTCTTCAATGCACCCTACAGAAATTGCTTATTTTATACCACCGAATCCAAGCCTGCAGCATGTAGTGCTCTGCTAGGAAGTAATCCACAGAGAAAATAAGTGATTTTTAATAGAAAAATGATTTTTATTTGATTATTAATAGAAACTTGTAAGACAGTTATAAAAAGGCTGAAAATGGAAGATAAAAGAAGCCACTTCAATCCTAGCACTTCCAGTGCCGCCAGTCAACTTCCAGCTGCACATCTAAGTTGTAAGGCAGGACCCTGCGGCTCAGAAATCACTCCCTAGGCTTGCAAGACCTGCCCTCATCCCATCCTCAATTAGGTTTCTTGACTAACGACCCATTGTCAGCTGGATTAAGGCTTCTGACCTTGCTGCACATTTCAAAATCCCTCAAGTGAAATTTTCAAGCACACAGAAAAATTTTCAAGCACATGGAAAAATTTTCAAGCACTCAGAGAGGTTTGGGGTACCTTCATCCAGTACCTACCCACTTCAGGGTACTCATGGCTACTCCGTATCACTCCAGGGAGCTCGGGGACTACAAGCGGTATCTTTGCTAAGCCTCCCTGCATCTTTCTCTAAAGATGCAATAACACCAACAGCATCTTTGGTTGCAGCTTCCAGCAGAATAAATGGAAGCAGCATATTAAGGAAAGCAGCTGGCTAACATGCTGAAAGGCCCCAGTCTACTATACACACAGAGATAGCGAGTTTATCTCCCTTGTATTTTCAGCCCTCACTAATTTTAAGCCTTTCCTTCTCGGAGGTCGCAGCAGTTCACGGACGGGATGGGGCCCCACCACCAGGCACACATCACTGGGCACTCAGCAGGCTGCTACCCTGCAAGGGAGGATGCAAGGGTGGGGTGTGACACACACCCCTCCAGCCCCTTAAACCATCCCCATATGAACCCCCTTTCTCTCCTGCCCATGCAGGTGGAGATGCCTGCATCCGCCATGGGTCTGACTTGCCCCAGCCAGTGAAGCCCCACCAAACCAGCCTCCCCATCACCTTGCTCCCATTGTCTGAGTCTGTACCTCATACTTTCCTTCATTTTCCTTCTTCATCTTCTCAACGTCCAGCAGAAGCGACCAGACCTGGCCTCGCACCTGAAGAGGGATCCCTTTGTACACTCGCCGGCACATCTGTAGGGAGGGAAATACATGCAAGGTTAGCTGGTCCTGCTGGTGGAAGAACAGATGTGCTCCATGGGTTGCTGCGGCAGACCACCAGCCATCTGAGCTGACACCCCAAATGACCACTTCCTCTGCCTGCGCTGGTGCAGAGAGGGCATCTCCAATCTGACGGATGAGCTGAGCACCTGCATCCATTGGAGACACCTACTCAGTCAAAATCAAGCCACAAATCATGCTTTTAACCTTACTGGAAGAGCTGGACATGGACCATCCCCTTTACACATGGAGAAATCTCAGGTGTTTCACAGCAGTCACATTCCGTGCACACCAGCCTGTCCTCGGAGTCCCCTCCAAGGACCAGATGCAGCACCCTTGGCTTTGAAGCCTTTGATCTGATCTAGCATGGCTATTCTCACCTGGATCCTCAGGGACTGGGAGAAAAGTAGATTTCCCCTTGGAGAGGAGAGCCCTTAACATGAGAGCCACAGGGACATATCCACAGAAACTCTCACAGCTTAACAAGTGGCAAAGGAGGCTGTGGGCTACACCAAGGGCTCTCCCCCGAATATGCAGGGTACTCCGCAAGCAAGGAGGGGGATTGGAGACAAACGTGCATGTGTCCCTCCTCCTGCCTCCACATGTCCACTTCATCTCACAGAGGCCTGTTCCCTTTTTACTTGTCATAAAGCCCTCTCTCTCTAAAGAGACCATTACATTTCAATGCAAAACAGCAAAGAGCTTTTGTTCCAGCCCTGACTTCTCCCATTAAAAGTTTCACAAAAAAGAAAAAAGCCCCATTTCTGAATATTTTCCACCCTTCCATTCATTCCACCCGTGCAACGCCTCGCAGCTGCACTACAAAGCTAACCGCGGCACTCCACCAGATTCCCAAGCTCCAGCCATGGAGCGGATTTACACTGTCACACAGTGATCCCTCAGGACAGGCCAGTTCCTTGGAAGGGGACAGAGGTACCGGATTCCCAGTCATGGAAATAAGCTCAGGGCTGAGCAGGGCAGTACCCAACCAGGCAATCAACTGGAGCTACTGGCATTGCCTGGTACAAATGCATTCAACCTCCTTCAAAACCCCTCTTCTCTTTCCATAGGGTGGTTCTGCTTCACACGTTTCAGGCTGATGCAAGAGAAGGGCTGCAATTCATGGGGAAGCATCCAGCTCCTAGCAGAAGGCTTTCTGGACATGGTCCTGCCGAGTTGCCTTTGTATCTGTTACACCAAGCTGAACGCCTGCTCCTGTTACCTTTCCTTTCTGACCCATCTCGCATCATCAGCTTTTTAACTTCTAGCTTGACTTTTTAAACACCAGCCTACACACAAAGTTATAAAGACCATAAACATGGCACTGTGTTGTCAGCCTACCTGGGCTCGCAGCCTCCAGAGAGCACAGACCCATACTCCTCGTTTCGTTACCGTCTGCATGGCAGCACTGCGCCTACCAAGTGCAAAACACAGCAACGACAGCTCTTGTCCCAAAGAGCTAGTACAAGACGAGACAGGAGGTGGGGTTCAAGCAGACAGGTTAGGGGACAACAAAGAAATAACACCACTATCCCAGTCAAAATAAGTATGTAATAGCTATGTAATAAATGCCAAGACCACCGTGTAGTACTAGGAGAGCTAAATATGTGTTATAACACTTTTCCGCCACATAATGGCAAATATTTCAGAATTTCTGCTGACACAAAGTGTCAGTGTAAGGTATCTTGATCCTCTAACTGTAATGGACATTCAACATTTAAAACCCCGTTCTCAGCACTTGCCAAATACTTGCTCTGCCCCAGGTGCTGCTTAGCACCAGCTTTGAAGGTCCAGTCATAGCCAGGACCATACTCTACAGAAATTCTTTGCAAGATCCTGCCCTCCCCTCTGTATACGCCGAGTAAGAGCTGCCCCCTAAAAAGCATCTCACTACCAAGATGTGCGCACAGATGGCCACCATCCTATTCAACAGCATCCTGCATTTTAAGTGGGACATCACTAATTCACCATCTGCACACCCAGAGGAGCCACTCCTGCTCGCCCAAGCTCACACGAGGAGGCATTTCTGGAGGACAGCAAACCTTCACGCCACGCTGGACAGCTTCATCCCCAGGGCTGAAAGACCAGGTAGATGAAGAAGCAATTCCCATTCCCTGAGAGTCATCAAATAAGGACAAAAGAAGTACGAGACACAAAGAGACAGGGTTAGATGAACCATGTCCCCAAAGTGGTACTGGTAAGGCGCCCACAAAAGCCTGGCTCCTGCAAGCGCTCATGACTTCATGAAGAAAAAGCTGAGATGGGATCAAGAAACTGGAGTATGTAACAATTCAGATAAAATCACCAAAAAAACTACTTATTTCCAACGGATTAGGAGAGACCGACTGACAGCTGCCGAGGCAGAAGATGACACTTAGCTCCATGGGAAGAAAATAATTTTGTTTTCAATTCCCAGAGCTGGTATTGTTGGACTTTAACGAGCGCAGCCCTCATCGGCATATAGTAAATGTCTCTAATGATTTTTCTCCACATGAGAGTGTGGGAGGCACAGGGGAGTTACAAAACATGCTGAGATGAAACTGAACTAAAATGCCTCCCCGTTATTTATCCAAGGGCTTTCCTCCTCCCACTGCCTCCAAACGTGAAAGTGATAAAAACCTCAGAGCTGTGAGTCACATGGAGCAAAAATGAGCAACTTTCCTTCATCGTGAAACTTGCAGGAAAACAGGGAAGTTATCATTAAAAGCAGCATTTATGCTGGGATGAACTGACAGAGGGAAAGCAGCAGGTGATGGCAACTCCTGCTCCACGTGAGAAGAAAAAACAACCCTCAAGGTCACCATCTTCTGTCTCTTATAAACTGCTCAGCCCTTACAGACGGGAAGAGAGCACCTAGACCATGCCCCATACAGACTGACAGACAGATCAACACATGACAGGAAGCAGGATGTCATCCTGTTTCACAAATGCAGATGCTGGTGGTCTTAGTAACGGCTCAAGGTGCTGTGTAGAAAGGCCATGTCAGAGCTAAGGACTGAATCCACTGTGTTTAAAACTTACTCCAGGTTTTGCCATAGGATCATCTTCCCTCTCTAGCCTTTAACATACCAAGCTCATGGCATAGAGGCCATCATCACCCCATCCCCATCTCTCTGCTCCCCATGTTCTTTCTTTCCAGTAAATGGGATAGGGAAGACTACAGAAGTACAGGCCTGAGCTCCATCTTCCTGCATTAGAGATCTCCTTTGAGAAGTACCCAACCAGGTCTTTAATGACAAGGGTGGAGACACTGCCTTTAAACAAAGGACATCTTTTTGCAGTAGTTAAGAGACAATAGTTAAAAAAGGGTTTAGGAGGGGTGGGTTGGGTTGGTTTTTTAAAGCAGAATATACACATTTCAGCCCACTTTCACATTTTGGAGCCTGTCACTGTTAGCTTTTCAGTCATGTGCATAGTCCACCAGGAAGAAAGTACAGGAGTAATGCCCAAATTTGGGGTATGCATGGCAATTTCACTTTAAAGCTTCTCGGTATACCCACCATACATCTCCAACACCCTGAAGTGGGGGTAGCCCCCCTTCCTCAGTTCCTTTAGGGCTCAAAGAGTGATACTTCTGAAGAGGTAGGGCTCCTTCGCTTCCTCCACCAGTGACGTGCCAGGGGAGCTGAGCTGTAAAAATCTTTACCTGGAGTAGTGGGTGAAGCCTCCACTACCACCACCCTGGAGAAGAGCACTTCTCTTTTGCACTGCAAAGCCAGCTGACCGATGATGTGGCCATGCAAGACACTTGGGAGCCTGGACTTTGCTGTGCATAGTTTTCTTTCCGTATAGATAATGGTTGCTCCCAACTCAGCTTTTGTCCCTGCAGCTGGAGCCTTGGCTATGCCGCATGGGGTGCCAGCAGGTTTGCAGGGGCTTTGGCAGCAAAGCAGGGGCAAATTTAAATCCTAAAGCTGATGTGTCATGAGCGGGCATTTACATTTATTACCAGAGATACCTCTGGGGGAGAGGAAAATGCTACCTGCCTTTCCAAAATGGCAAAAAAACAGCAGCAGAAGTCACCCTGCAGCTTCCTGGTGCAACCCTCTTTCTTTCTCATGGTGTTTGCGGGCGGAAGACCTGACTTCAGCTGACCCTGCCATGACAAACGTTTGCTGGCTCTCTCCAGTCTTAGCAGATTATTCGCTCTTGGGTGTCCATGTCAGTCAAAACAGAGCCACGATTCATCCTAAATCACTTTGCTGGCGTGCACTGGATCAAGCACCCTGCACTCCCTTGACCCTAGCAGAGACAAGGCTACCCCCTTGCACAAAGACAGGCCTTGCCTAAAAACCAGACATCTCTGGCCGAAGACATCCCTCTCTAAAGGTCCCATACCACACGGCTAGCAGCAAGAAATAGCTTGCAAATGATGCAGAGGTCATATCCTCTTCCTAGGACTGATACTACTGGCTGAAATCCACTTATTTCAGGGCTACGATGAATAAATTATCCCGCTATTGGAGCGCATGCAGCACAGTCTCTTTTTTCTCTGCAAAACTGTGCTGCCTTAACTGTGTACATTCTTACATGGCACCAACCACTTCCTAACCTTCCCAAGCAGAATCAGGTTGGGATTTGAACTTCAGTTTAAAACAGCAGTGAAGAGGACAGACTACCTGAGCCTCCCTGTGCTGAACCCTGAATTACACAATTTAGCACTTCTTTGCAGGTTTGACATACCTTAATTCTGCAAAGCAGTGTGGTCCTTGCATGCACTCCTTTCTTTTTGTACCTTTTCCCTTGTGAAAGTACAGCCAGGAAAAGGCAACACTGCATCATCCTAACCCCATCCATGCAATGAATTGTGCTGGTGTCATTTTGTGTTGATGTTGCTACTGAAATTAAATCAGACTGCTATAAAATGCGTCTAGAACAGAGATGGAGACATATCTGATGTGGTGATGAGCAGAGGGAAGCCCAGAACATCAATTAAGATAATCCTACTTGTTGCTCATCCTGAAACAGGTTATGCCAGGAATGATTTTAGGCACAGCCAGGCCATGCTGGGCTAGGGATTGTAACAGGCCCTCCTCTTAAGTGTTTTTTTCAGCCCTGTTTCCTACCATCTGTGACAGCCACAACACCCAGACTGCAACCAGCAGCATGTGGGGATGCACACTGGCAGCAGGTGGGGGAACAGAAAGCAAGACCTGCTGCTCTGTGGCAATGGTTCATGCTGGAGGTCTGAAAAAGCTTCTTTCTCGCCTGCTGATGGGTGGTTGCTTTGGGGCTGGTTCCCTGGACGGGTACACAACCTCCCTCCTCCTGCTGACGTTTCAGAACACACTAGCTGAGACAACAACCTAAACCCTGATCAGGTACTAAGGTGCTGCAAAACACAACAGCCTGCTCAATAAGCCAAGAGTCCCTCTTCAAGCACTCGATACGGTCAGCTGTCTGCCAGGTCCAGCACATGAACTTGGACTCAAAAGGTTGGCCCTGAAGTCCAGAAACTTTCAGCCTGGAAAATAAAGACAGGTTTCTACGTCACACAAACAGAGCCAAAGTCAGGGCTTCCCTGTGAAACTGCCTGGAGTTCTTGAAACAAGATTTTTTTTTTGCCTCTAATAAAGCGCAGTCTATCAAAATGAACATCAGAGGAAAAGCTCCTGTCTTCATTAAGAGGTTTTTTTCAAAGATGACATCCTAGTCTTTATTAAAATAACACAGAGCTGCTGGCTTGTGACACTTGGGCTTCCGTCACATCAGTGAAGTGCCAAAAACAAACCTGAAGGAAGCATGCAAGGCAGATGTGACGGCCTGAGTGCTCAGAGAGGGAACAAAACCAACCCACTCCGCTTTAGAAAAGTCAGATCAAGGGCTTGTCACATTTACTTCAGCTAAAAAAAAAAAACCCATAACCATCTGAAGGGCATGACTGTGATCCCAGCATAAGGTCCTTGAAATGCCACATCTGAGCTGTCTGCAGCTGTGGCAGCAGG